TATTCATGGAGATAACACCCTGACTAACAAAAAAGTTCTCCCAGAAAAGAGTGTAAGATGAAAGAAATATTAGGTTGACTTATATTTCCTTGAGCTGGTTTGGTTGATTCGCGAATATACGTTGCATAAAAGAGCTTTCGATTGATACATGGTGGAAAATGAAATATACTGTTCAACTTTCCCATTTAGTGTTGTTGACGACTACTACTACTACTACTACTACTACTACTCCTACTACTAGATGATTTATAGGACAGGCACGTGTTAAAGAGGACACCTTTTTCCAAAGACTCTCTTATTCTCACGACAGCTGTAATTACGGTATGCACCTCTAAATACCTGAAGAAAACCCCCACAGGAAGGTCAGAGCCCGGAATCAAACCCATGACCTCTCCACTGTGAGGCAGGTGTGCTAACCAGTGAACCACCTGCCCCTCTTTGGCACATAACGGTATGATGATTATGATTTGTGAATGATTAGATGTTAAGATGATGCCACGTTTGGGGGGTTTGTTCCAGTAAAGTTCATCCAAAAAGGCAGGTGACACCAAGTGCAGAGAAGCAGGCTGCTAAATGAGAAGCAGGAGTGCAGGAGAATTAAACAAACAAAAAAAAAACAACGGTAATGAAGGAAAAATACAAAACAATAAATCCAAAAAGAGATTCTTTGAGACCCGAGGAACAAAACTCTTCACCTCAGGTGACTGCTAATAAGCGACATATGACAACGGTCAGAGGAAGCGAGCAGAGAAAAGGGAACTGAATACAAACAGAGTGAGAGGACAATGAGGCACACCAGGACAAGTCACCATGGCAGGACAAAGCTGAGTGGGTGACACGAGGGAGAACAGGTGAAGACAAATACATAATAAGCAGACAGAAAGGCATGAACAGGAGACACAGGAAAACAAAGAAAACCGAAATCACAACATAGGAAATTGAAATGAACTGAGAAACTCAAAAAAAAAAACAAAAAACAACAAATATACAAAACATAGATCATGAGAGATGAACTGTGACAGTATTGTTTTATTGTGAATACACTAAAAATGCTCCAAACTGTAATCATCAAGTAGGAATGAATGAATAATAAATGTGACTGGCTTTTGGATGATATCACAATTGTTTTGGATGATATCACAC